GCCCTGACACCTAGAAACCTTCTTGGGCTGGCCCCGTGGCCGAGTGGTTAAGTTCACACACTCTGCCTTCGGCGGTCCAGGGTTTCGCCAGTTCGGATCCTGGGCACAGACATGGTACCGCTCATCAGGCCATGATGAGGTGGCATCCCACATGCCACAACTAGGAGGACCCACGACTAAAAATATACAACTATGTACTGGGGGAATTGGGGGAGAAAAAGCAGGGGAAAAAAAAAAAGATTGGCAACAGTTGTTAGCTCAGGTGCCAATCTTCAAAAAAAAAAAAAAAAGAAACCTTCTTGACTGGCTGCCCCCTAGGTTCAGAAACAGGTTTATAATTTGCTCCAACCATTAACCATTACTTTCCTTTGTTTCCATAGAAATGCCTCTTATTGAATACCTGATTGCTTGCACATAGACCTAACTTTGGGAGCCCACCTGCATCACTGCCTTCTGAAATGAGACATACCTGTTTAACAGAACTGATCTATTCAATGAAATAATAGAACAACCTACCAGCTCAACTTTTAACATGTGAAACTTCCAGGGAAATTTCAGAGGAGGTAACTGTTGGGGCCCTGGCAGGCCGCCCCAAAATATCCCACAATAGCATATTGACCATTTTGAATTAAAGATACTTGAGAAGCAAAAAGGGCATTCTGACCCCCCTGTCTCTGTTCCCCTTGAAAGCAGGAAATAAAACTCCCCTGTGAAAGATGCTCTCCCTGTGTCCTTATTCCCAGAGCTGGGGAATTCCAGCCCGAGAAGCCTGCATAGACAAACCTTGCTCATTTACTGTCTCAAGCCTAAACTCGGCTTAAATTCCTCACTAATATACTTACATGCGTCAAACCTAAGTTTCTTTGTCCTGTCATTCCTCACAAATTTATTGTTGCTTTGTTCACTCTCCGAGCATCACTTTCATGATTCTCCTATGTGCACATAAATGAAATTGTGTTTTTCTCCTGTTAATCTGGTCTTGTGTCAATATTACTCTTAGTCCAGCCATAAGAACACAAGAAGGCTAGAAGGGGGAATTCCCCCCTCCCCAACAGAAATCCTCTAAGCAGAGAGTCCAGGAACAGCAGGTGTCTGGTGGAGGGCCCCAGGTGGAGGTGGGCCAGTCAGACAGAGTTCTGCAGGCTGAGGCAGTTTGGACTTGATGGAAAGGGCCATGGGAAGCCTGCAATAGTCCCGCACCGCCTCCCTCCACATGTAACTCTAAGAGGCAGAGACTGGGTCCTCAGCACCTCTGTTCCTCAGCATTTCTCAGGGTGTCCCACACCAGACACCCAAGGGGAGACCACCATCACCCTAGTCGAATATGTGACTAAGTGAGTGATCGGATAAATGCATGCACGCCTGCCTGAGGGAGGAAGTGAACCCAGGGGCTCCAGTGCTGTGTCCCCGAGTCTCAGGAAGAGTCTCTTTGAGGGGGCCAGCCCCATGGCTGAGTGGTTAAGCTTGCGCACTCCGCCTTCAGTGGCCCAGGGTTTCGCCAGTCCGAATCCTGGGAACAGACATGGCACTGCTCATCAGGCCATGCTGAGGCGGCACCCCACATGCCAAACTAGAAGGACCCACAACTAAAAATACACAACTATGTACTGGAGGGCTTTGGGGCAAAAGGGGAAAAAAATTAAAAAAAAAAAAAAAGCCTCTTTGGTCTCTGGGGAGACCGAGGCTAAGAAAGGTCACTTGCAGCTTCTCTATACTGATTCTCAAAAGAGGGAAAAACAGAACTGTCTGCAAACCAACAAGCCCCTGCTCCCTCTCCTGGGAGGGGATGGCCTCAGGGAGATGCCCATCAACAGCCTCTTGGTGTGTGGCAACTGCCATGGTGCCAGGGAAGAACCAGGACATCCCCTTACAAAGCAAGAGAGCATCTCCAGCCAGATCCTGGAGGAAAAGGTCTGGTGTTGTCCTAGAGAGGAAAGAGAATAATCTCATCAACCCCGCCTGGTCTCTGGAGCAAGATCAGGGGCCTTATCCCTCAAGTCACATGGGAAGGCAGGCAGGAACTAGAGGAGGGAAGTGAAAGCCCAGGGAAGTCAAGTGATTTTCCCCAAGTCCCACAGCCAGTCACAGGGCCAGCCAGGATTTGAACCCACAGTACCCTGTGCCGTCCACTAACCCACGGGGAGTGGGGACAGAAGTGAGGAAAACTGAGTCTGTTTGCAGGGAGAAGATTCAGAAAAGGAACTGACTGGCCTTCTTAGAAAATGAAATGGAAAATTACCTCTTGAGGGCGAGCTCATGCTCAGCAGGCGTAGTGGAGACAGGCCCCATCATTTCAGAGAGCAATTTGGCAGGGAGTGCCAGAGCCTTCGAAGTGTTCTTCCCCTTAGCCCAGTAATTCGATGGCTGGGAATCGATCCCGGGCCTAAGGACAGGAAAGCATTATGGACAAAGATGCTTGTCGCAGCATTAGTCATAACAGCAGCAGGCTGGAGGTGATCCAAATGTCTGACAATGAGAAAACTATTAAGAAAATCAAGACAGTCACAGAATATGACACAGCCATTAACAGTGTCATTTGAGAGGGCTTTTTCATAGTGGGAAAAATGCTTGCATTAAAATGTGAAGTGGAGGAAAAACAGGGTGTGAAATTATTTATGCCGAAAGACAATGGCTTCTAAAACAGGCAGAGAGGAGGCACTGGCAGCAAACGGGCCACAGCTGGTCTGCAGTGGCCTTTGTGGGACACAATCAAGGGGAATCTGGGTTCTTTCCTCTGCTTTTCTATATTTTCTCTAATACGTACATATTACTTGTAATTTTTTCTTAAAAAATGGAAAATATTTTAACTTTTTTCCAATTACAAAATTAATATTCCGTTGGCAAACATTTTTGAACAATCTAAATATGGGTGAAAGTAAAAAGTGGAAGAACGCCTATAATTCCACTGCCCAGAGATAACCAGTGTCAATCGTTAATATGCTTAGCTGTACACACACACATAAGTACACAAACTCTGACACACATATTCATATACGTACACACACATACACACATATATACACATTCACACCTATATACACATACACGCACATGTATACATAGACAAATACACACACATGTTTAGTTTTGCGCAAAAATGGGATTATATCCAAACACTGTTTTGGAGCTTGCTTCTTTCCTGTAAGAGAATATATACATTACTCCAAGTCAATGTACACAGATCAGACTCATCCTTTTTGATGGCTGGTTAATGTTCCATTGTAGGAGGCAGAATAATTTATTTTTGTAACAAGTCCTTAATTCTGGATCTTTACATTGTTTCCAATTACTTTAATCATTAAAATAACTGCAGTGAGTGTATTTTACCTGTATGTTGGCACATGCATTTTCCCAGAAGTGGAACCGCTGGAGCCGATGGAACACGTGTTTTCATGCTTTTCATCTATGTTACCAAATTCCCTCTAGAAGATCGTATAGATACGAATTTAGGGGGAGTGCCCACTTGCCCACAAGCCATTCGCCTTTGCCAACGGGATGAGTGGGAAGGTGTTTCATTGCGGGTGTAACTGGTGTCTCTTTAAATCTTGGTGAGATTCTTTTTCACGTTTGCACAGTTTTTGGATTTCTTCTTTTGTGAATTGCCTATTTATGTCCATCTTTTGCTTCTTATTTATTTGTTACAGCAGTATTGCCTTAATAAGTGGAACAGGAATATAAATCTTAATTTACAAAAAAGAAAGCAAGCATATCCATCTTTACCCCACAATCTCCAAATCGGAAGGCGGAGAAGTTTGCAGAAAGGCAGGCGCTCGAGGGTGGTCTGAGGGCCAGAGCCTGGGAGAGGCAGAGAGAGCTCTGGCCTGAGGGCAGCTTTGCTCCCAGCCTGCTGTGAGTGCTCCTGGAGGCACAACTCAGGGGTCTCGGGGCCTCCGTGTCCTCCTTTGAGGTCAGTGGTTTTCAAAATCTTAATGTGGAGCCTCTCCCACCCCGACCCCCTTAGGATAGCACAGTGCTTCTTAATCCCGGCTGGACTTTAGAAAAATCTGAAGAACTTTAGAAAGATACACATATTCCCAGTGCCCACCCTAGAGATCCTGATTCAACGTTTTAAAAAACTGCCAGGTGATTCTCATGTGCAGCCAGGGTCGAGGACACACATCAGAGCAGGGCTGTTCTGGCTAAAAGGAAGCAGAGCCGCAAACCCCACTCAGCCCCCTCCCCAGCCACGCCCCAGCCTGCTCCCGGGACCACGGGGTCTCCAAGAATCTCTGATGCAGCAACTGCCCAACTGTAGGCTGGAGTACTATGCCCCAGTCAAAAATAACAAGGTAGCCTGCACATGCCAATCGGGAAAATTTCCAGCGATGCCACAAGTTACTGAACAGCATGTATTGTAATATGGTCCCTGTGTTTTTAAAAAGCCGACATATGTGTAATATATGAAATGTCACGCATGCTCATACATTAGGGCAAAAAGTGAAACACACCAAGCCTTCAGAATCCTCATCGCAATTTGTGAGTATGCTTTTATTGTTTTTCCTTTTATTTGTCAACCTCCCTTCACTAGATAGTAAGGTTCCTCCAGCGGGAACCATGTCTATTCACCGCCAAGCTGCAGAGCCCAGAACAGTTCCTAGCACATGCGGGGTCCTCCGGAAATAACTGTTAAAAGACAGACAGACAAATAAAAAGAAAAGGGGGAAAGGAGAGAGAAAGAGAAGGAAAGAAAAAAGAGAAACTTGTTCAAAGAGAGGAAGAGGAAAGAAAGGAAGGGAGAAAAAGAAAGGAAGGAAGGAGAAAATTAGAGTTGGAATTTCACTTTTACAACTTTAATTGGTTGAATATTTCTAAAATACTTTCATTATTAAAAATAAAACACAGGGGGGCTGGCCCCGTGGCCGAGTGGTTAAGTTCGAGCGCTCCGCTGCAGGCGGCCCAGTGTTTCCTTGGTTCGAATCCTGGGCGCGGACATGGCACTGCTCATCAAACCATGCTGAGGCAGCGTCCCACATGCCACAACTAGAAGGACCCACAACGAAGTATATACAACTATGTACCGGGGGGCTTTGGGGAGAAAAAGGAAAAAATAAAATCTTTAAAAAAAATTAAAAAAAAATAAAAAGATAAAACACAGGAAATCCCATGGTTCCAATATATGGCTTAACTAATTAGTACAAGGTAAACGCCACTGAGACCCAGAAAAAGCGCTTTGCCAGCGACCTCACACGCCCGTGCACGTGCCCTCCCCCGCTCCCTCCCTCCCTCCTTCCTCCAGAAGCAGTAACGTTCGCCCGACTCTTATGGGGCGCAATGACTTCATTTTAACGGCACTCTGCTGGCGGAGGGTGGGGGCGGGGGTTCTCAGGAAAGCGTCTCTGGCCACGGTCCGGGCCCAGTTCCCTCCGCGGACCCCTCTCCCCCCGCAGCTTGCGCAAGACCCCCCCGGGTCCCGGACCCCTGGGTGGGGGGCTCCGCCGCCCTCATCCGCTTTCGAAATGCAACTTTATGCAACCGTCGCGGACAGAGCTCCAGGTTTCCCAAGAAGGAGAAGCGAAAGAGGATCAGAAACCGCGTGCCGAGTGATTTCAGCTTCCGGGGCGGCCATCAGGGAGGAGGCGGGGCGGCGGGATCGCGCCCGGAGCGGAGGGCAGGCCCCGGGGGTCCGGGGGCTGGCGGGGCGGCGGCGAGGAGCGGCCTGTGCGGGTGGAGCCGGGCTGAGCGCAGCGGCCGAGGGCGGACGGGAGCATCGCGGCCCTGCGCGCGTCCGCACAGCGCGCAGCCGCCCCTGGAGGGACGCTGGGGAAGCGCCGGGAGGGGTTCCCTCGGGCATGAGTGTGGGAGTCTAACTAGAGAGGGAGGCAGCTGGAGGACTCAGTCTTCGCTTCACCCGTTTCCAGAATGTTACTGATTGATTTCAAGATCACCCCCCACCCCCGGTCCGTCCTTTGGGGCCACCTCCTCCAAGAAGCCGCCTCTCTCTCTCAGCTCGCTGTCAGGAATTCTGTCTCCGAGGCTCCTCCTGCCAGAGCCCGCATCAGCCTGGCCGAGCACCGCTGCCTGGGAAACCCTGGGAAGGTGCTCGCTTTCCCTGCGCCTCAGCCTCCGGGCCTGTGCGCGCCTGGCCCTCGTCACCTTCCACCCGAGAGGGGAAGGAGCCGGGAGGCCTGAGTTCCACCCCTCCCCGCACCTCTCCGCCCTCAGGCCCTGCTGCCACCCTGCGGATTCTCAGGACAAGTCCCCCCCATCGGATCTCCCCCTCCTTCGCTCCACAGTGACGGCGTGGGAGACGCTCAGGAGTTTTATACTCATGACATAAATAATAATAATGAGCCCACATTTGAAGGAGGCTGCTCTGCTCCCTAGCCCCAGCCTCCCCTCTGCCCCGTGCCCCCTGTCCTGCCTCCCTGTCCTCCCCCCGCCCTGCAGGCCTCCTACTGGACAACCTCTCCAGCACATCCAGCGGGGGTGGGCGACTGAGGAGGATGTCCACATCAGTGAGGAAGTCCATCCCTTAGCCAGAGCTCCAAACTGGTGACATTGAGTCTGTCCCCTGAAGGATGTGCTTGACCTGCACAGTCTTGAAGGAATTATGTTTAGTTTTTAAAAATAATTTCAGTTAGTTGCCAACATTTAAGGTCAAGAGATTGCCCATAGAATTTGGGCCATGTTCCTGGGGGGTCACAGTCCTCGCTGGGCCTTTGATGCGTCCATACCTGGCCCCACAGGAGTCCCTATGGGCCTTTGAAACTAAGCTAAAGAAATCCAAAGGAGTGGAACTGGGAGCACAGGTGAGCACAGTAGAGGAGATATTTTGGAGTCAGGGACCCTGAGATCCTACAGACGAGAAGTTCTACCAGGCAAAACGCTGGCCTTGACCCGGGAAACGTCACATTGGACTCCTGGCCTCGGGCTCTCCATCTGAACAATGGTTGAGCAGACTGGTATAAGGATCCCTGTGGCCCCAGAACTTCAGGCGTTTTAGGGCCTGTGTGCTTCATGTGTGATGGTTTCTGGTTTTGTCCTTATGTGTGGGTGCATTCCTCAGGCCGCGTTCTTGGCCCATTGGCCCAGAGTCCCTGGGGCCCAGCCCTGCCCTGAAGCCTGTCTGCCTCCCTTTAGCCTCTTCCCCGCCTCCTGACACCATCCCTGCCTCTGTAACCCAGTCTTCCCTCCCCCAGGAGCTCTTCCTCTGGCCCTGGCACTGCCTGCCCCTGAACCACCGCTCTCCCACCCCCAGGGAGCCCACTTCCTTCAGGTGCTCGTGGACGGGGCGCCTTCCCCACGGGAGGAGCTTTTCTCGCTGCTCCTCGTTCTTCACGCTGGCCAGGAGCCAGGTGTGGGAACACTGGGCTGTGTCCTGGCCTCCCACAGCCCCTCAATCTTGTATGGCCTTGTTCTCTGGGCTGTCCCTGCCACTTCTCGCAGCCCTTCTGCCTCTGGTCCCTCCCCAAAGAAACTTCCCTCCAGTTCCATTGAGATCACCCACACCTTCTAGCCTACTCCATTCAGTGGCCTCATCCATCACTCCCCAAATATTATTAACTACAGTCACTGTCCTGCGTTAGGCCTGTGAGGATTCAAGAGAGAACTAGAGCTGTCGTTTCCTCTGTGAGCTCACAGCTCTATGGAGGAGAGAGAAAGTCCCGTGGATAGGGGTAGAGAAAGACAAAGGCTCCAATGGGTGAGTACAGGGCTGCTGTGGCACTTGACTCAGACTTAGGGGGTCAGGGAGGGCCTCCTGGAGGAGGCAGTTTCTAAAGTGACGTCTGGAAGGTGAGTTACCAGACAAACACAGCAGGCGGGGAGGAGTTTTCATGCTGAGAGAATAGCATATGCAAAGGCCCTGGAGAGAGCGGGAACACAGTGCATTGAGAGCCCTAGAGAGATGAGGCTGGACCCAGGGGCAGCCCATGCTGAGGCCAGGAGAGGTTTCAGAGTTTGGAAAGGCTACGCCCCTGCTGTCACCCTGGCTGTCCAAGGCCTTTGAGGCCCTGACGTTCCACGGCTTCTTGAAGACAAGGTCATGCAGATGCTGTTCAGCAGATGTGTCTGGTCTCCCCAGTAAGTGTCCAGTTCCAGGCCAGTCTCAGGGCCAGGGCTGTGGACACCACCAAAGACGGCCGGCCCAAATCTCACAGGCTGCTCGCTGGGAGTCCCTCCCCTGGCCCCAGCCCTGCCTCAGTCGCCCACTGTGATGGACTGAATGTGTGTGTTCCCCCCGCAAATTCCTGTTGAAATCCTAAGCCCCAGTGATGGCGTTAGGAGGTGGGGCCTTTGGGAGGGAAGTAGGTCATGAGGGTGGAGCCCTCGTAAAAGGGACCCCAGAGAGCTCTCTCCCCCTCTCTCTGCCATGTGAGGACAGCACGAGAAGCCAGCCGTCTGCGACTCAGAAGAGGGCTCTCGCCAGCGTGTGACCATGCTGGCATCCCGCTCTGGGACTTCCAGCCTCCAGGCTGTGGGAAATTCCCGTGTTTACAAGCCACCTGGTCTGTAGGACTTGGTTATAGCAGCCTGAATGGACTGAGACACCCACGAAGGCATCTCTGGGTGCGCAACAGTCCTCAGGGGCATTGGCATTGGATCCGAGACGGGGGCTCCAACAGGGGAGCTGCCTGGTGGCATTTGGGGTTCTCTGGGGTCACCTTTGGCTGCTGCAGTGATGGGGGCCTTTGGGGCCGAGGCTGATCCTGCAACACTCAGCAGAGCCCTGGGGACAGGAAAGTTGTCCCATGTGTCCTCTCCTGATTTTCACGTGTCCCTTCAGATATTCATGTCAGTGAAAAAGCCAAACTCCATTTCACACTTAAACACAGGATATTTTTGCATGTTTTAAAACATACTCAGAATGCAAATTAATGGGAGGTGATACTTAGTTTTGTGGGGAATGCTGCCAAGAGTTTTAGCCTTTTCAAAAAATCACCATACTGACAGCAACACCTCTCCTGGGATTCAAGGCCCCAAACAGAGTCCTGAGGCATCTGCGTTGGTGGCAGGCCTGTGTGACACAGCGTGGTGTGAGCATTGGCCACATTGTCACCTGGTGTCTGCTCGTGGCATTATTGTTGGGCATTTACCTGTTGAGATGCACATAAATGTATTATGACTTTCCTTTATATATTAGTTGGGGCATTATACTGTTTTTAAAAAATTGTATGCGTAGGTAAGCTTTAGTAGCTGTGCGATGATTTTATGGTGACGTCCATGACCTTAGAGACTGTGAGACCCCTCAGGACAGGATGGCGTTGTCTCTCTCACTGTGATGACCTTTCATGGAGCAAAAGCCGCAGCAGGAGGCCAGGCCGTGGTGGCCCTAACCTGGGCTGGTCGTCACTGTGTCCCGCATAGACACACACTTGCAGCAACAAAATAGGCCAGTGTCACTTAAGAGGGTCTTTGATGAGGCAGTAAAACTGACAAGTATTGAATCCCAGACCCCGAGTACACCAGTTTCAATATTCTGTGATGAGGTCCGCCTTGGCCGGGCCCGGGAGACAGCTGTGGGAGGAAAAGCCTCCGTGAGCCTGTGAGAGTCGAGCTGAACCACCCCCTGTCCAGCGAACCCCGTTCTCACTGGAAAGGACGACCACAGACACCCTGGGGTGTTCAGACTTAGCCATCTGGCAGACAGGTTTTCAAACAGGAGCAGTGTGAGATTGTTGCTTCCAGGAAAAATGGTTGACCACATTAGTTGTCAATGATAAATTTTGAGCTTTCAGCAGAAATTAGAATTTTGGAAAACATGTATCCACCGCTGTGAGCTTGACAGCTTCCCAATATTTAAAGACTTTTCTGATGAGATGAGTGATCATGTTAACGATGTGATTTTTTTTGACATCGTTTCACGATGTGTGCCATCTTTTGGAAGATTTGCACCATTCAGCAAACCGAAATTTTCCAAGTGACCAATGCATGATCCACAACATCATACCTGCATAAAAGATCCATTTAAAGTACAAGATGGACCCTTGCGTGTTACAGTAGGAGAGTCAGAAATGCTCGATACGGTTTCAGATTCCACACTGCAGCTCACCTTTAAGAACGACCCGACCGCGGGCTGGCCCCGTGGCCGAGTGGCTAAGTTCGCGCACTCCGTTGCTGGCGGCCCAGTGTTTCATTGGTTCAAATCCTGGGTGCGGACGTGGCACTACTCATCAAGCCAGCTGAGGCAGCGTCCCACATGCCACAACTAGAAGGACCCACAACGAAGAATATACAACTATGTACTGGGGGACTTTGGGAAGAAAAAGGAAAAAAGATCTTTAAAAAAAGAAAAAAAGAACGACGCATGTTGAGTTGTGGTGCGGCATCAACCAGGCGTCTGCACAGGCATCTGAAAGCCTGTTCAAACACTCCTCTCTTCCAGCTGCACGTTTATGCGGCCGGATTTTCTTCAATCAAAACAACGCACGTCAGCTGCCCGCGCACAGGCGGCCACAAGGGCCACAGCCTCCTGTCCCGAAGCCCGTGGAGGGGTTCACAGAAGTAGAGCGGTGCTTCTCTTTGCGCTGAATTTTCTCTGAAGTTTTCAAAATGTAAACATTTTCATTAAAATATTTTCATTTTTCATAAAAATACTTTGTTTTATGAGTATATTTCATAAGAGTATTTTAGTTTGTTTGTAATGAACCCATTACCTGTAATGGGTTCATTGTTATTTTTAGAAGAATTAATAAATATTTTGGTCGTTGATAATTCTTAAGACAGAAAAGGTGTCCCAGGATCAAAAAGTTTGAGAACCACTGATCTATGCATGTAATATGAAAATAGGAAGGGAGCATTTAAAAATTACTTTTTGAAAAAGGATACACTGGGCTGCCACTTCACACCCACAAGAATGGCTGTAATAAAAAAGACAGACAGTAACAAGGGTTGGTGAGGATATGGGGAAATTGGAACCCTTGTATCCTGTGGGCAGGAGTGTAAAATGGTGCTGCCGCTATGGGAAAAAGTCGGGCAGTTCCTCAAATTGTTAAACATACGGTCAAGCTTCTCCCCTCCTGAGTTTATGCACCCGAGAGAAAAGGAGCCCTACATCCAACGTAAAAGTCTGTACACAGATGTTCATAGCGGAATTATTCATTGGCTAAAAGGAGAAATAGCCCAAATGTCCATCAACTCATGAATGCAGAAATAAAGTGTGGTATGTCCATTCAATGGGATAGGATTTTGAAACAAAAAGGAATGAATTACTGATTCCTGCTACAACACGGATGAACCTTGAAAACGTTGTGCTAAGAGTAGAAGCCAGCCACAAAAGACCTTTTAGTATGTGATTCCATTTATATGAAATGTCCAGGACAGGCAAGTCTGTAGAGACAGAAAGCAGATCACTGGTTGCCTAGGGCTGGGGGTGGGGGTAGCAACAATGGAGTAACAGTTAAGGGATGGGGTTTCTTTTTGGAGAGATGAAATGTTCTAAAATTTGATTGTGGTGATGGTTGTACAACTCTGTGGATATACTGGAGAATATTGAGTGGTACGCTTTGAATAGGTGAAGTATACAGTATAGCTCAATAAAGCTGTTAAAAATAATCTACTTTTAAAAAGCTAGAGTTGAATTGGGAGAAAATTTTTGCAAATCATATATCCGACAAGGGGTTAATCTCCATAATATATAAGGAACTCACACATGAACAACAAAAAAACAAACAGCCCGATCAAAAAATGGGCAGAGGATATGAACAGACATTTTTCCAAAGAAGATATACAGATAGCCAATAAACACATGAAAAGATGTTCAACGTCACTAATCATCAGGGAAATGCAAATCAAAACTACACTAAGATACCACCTTACACCTGTTAAAATGGCTATAATCACTAAGACTAAAAACAACAAATGTTGGAGAGGGTGTGGAGAGAAGGGAACCCTCATACACTGCTGGTGGGAATGCAAACTGGTGCAGCCACTGTGGAAAACACTATGGAGATTCCTCAAAAAACTAAAAATAGAAATACCATATGACCCAGCTATCCCACTACTGACTATCTACCCAACAACTTGAAATCAACAATCCAAAGTAACATATGCACCCCTATGTTCATTGCAGTACTGTTCACAATAGCCAAGACATGGAAACAATCCAAGTGCCATCGACTGATGACTGGATAAAGAAGATGTGGTATATATATGCAATGGAATACTACTCAGCCAGGAAAAAGACAAATTCATCCCATTTGCAGCAATATGGATGGACATGGAGGGAGTTATGCTAAGTGAAATAAGCCAGACTGAGAAAGACAAACACCATATGATTTCACTTATATGTGGAATATAAACAAACACATGGACAAAGAAAACAGTTCACTGGTTATCAGGGGGCTGGGGGGTGGGGGGTGGGCACAGGGACTGAAGGGGAGCACTTACGTGGTGACAGACAAGAAATAATGTACACCTGAAATTGCACGATGATGTCAACTATTATGAACTCAAAAAAAAAAGAAAAAAGAAAAAGCTAGGTTTGGATGGGGGAAGTGTTGGGTGGGATAGTGTTGAGAACCCTGCCCTCTTGTGGCCAGTTCCAACATAGCATCAAGGAGGCAAGGAAACTGGTACTTGCTATCCTGAGATTGACCACAAGAGGGCAGAAGAACACAACATTTGCTCTGCTAACCCCTGGAATGCTCTGCTCCTAATGTTTTGAAGCCTCACACCTGGCCAGGTGCCCCGGGAATGGGGCAGGGGGCGAGCAAGAGCCAGGCTGGGGCAGGAGTGACCTTATAGAGCTGCCCACAGTAATGATGCCTGAAGGGCCCCCATTAGCAGGCTAAGCGGTCTTCTCTGGCTTCCCCATTAGCCCACAGCAACCCTAGGGAGGGGTTTGGAGAGCCACAGGGAGACGGCCCTGCTGGGAAGTCAGGGAGGAGTTCGGGTTTTGTGTTCAGGGATCAGGAACCACTGAAGGTGGCAGGGGACAGGCTCGGTGTGACCACTCTGGCTGCTGGGCAAGCGGGGATGACAAAGGGGCTCACAGTCCTGGCCAGAGCTGGTGACCAGGGTCACACAGGGGAGGTGGAGGGGAACGGGTGGGACTGAGAGACTGTGGGTCGCGCCCCACGCCCCGGGGAGCCTCGTACTGTATTATTGCCCCTGCAGGATGGCGCCTGAGTCAGGAGCCCGAGCTCCGGCCGCTTGGCTGGCACTGAGGCGCAGAGACGTCTACAGCCCTTCCCACTGCATCTCTGGCCTGAGACGCGTCCTGTCGTGGTCACTTTCAGTGGTGGGACCTCCGCCCTTCCCGTCCTGGGGCTGTCCTGACCTGACTGAGGGCTTCCCTGTGCTGAGCTGAGACTGTGCCTTCTGCACCCTGGGTGCCACTCTGACCTCTGGGCAGCCTGCGCCCTGTTTCCCACCACAGTCCTTATGTAAGTCAGAGACTGAGTGCCCTGTGTGTCCCTCACGTCCCCTTGAATACCTCCTAGTCCTGCTTATTGCCCCTTACCTGACATATCATGTCACTTCGTACCCCTGAACATGTTCCTGTTAAAGTCTCTCAAGGGGTGGTGTACAGCTCTGAACCCAGCCCTCCCAGTGTGGCCTGAGATGAGGGCCAGAGAGCGTCTGCCACCTCCTTTGTTCTGCACACCATGCTCCTATTAATGCAGCCAGAGCGCCCATGTAGAAACCACATCACACTGCTGACTGTGTCAATCAGAGTTTACACCAGTTCAAGCCCTTAAACCTTTTCTTCTCATGTTCTCAGCCAAGCCACATCACCCCTGTCCTGTAGCTCTGAGCTCTATTTTGTGGAGATTTTGGACCTACTACAGTCACCTTGCTGGCCTTGGGCCAGGGTTCTGGTGAAGAGCAGATGACCTGGTTCTGAACCAGGTCTGACCCTCAACTGTGTGCCCTTGGGCAAATCACTGACCCTTTCTAGGATGGTCAAATAGCCACCAAGTACTTGGGTTACAATCTGGCTCAGCCTCTCACTTGTTGAGTGACTCTGGACAAATGACTTCATCTTCCTGAGCCTCAGTTTCCCCATCTGTCAAACAGAAAAGCATAGTGTTCACCTCACTAGTGTCATGACTGAATGAAATACTGGGTGTAGAGTCCGACACACATGCCTGCGGGAACTGGTTTCCGGTTCCTTCTCTGGCTGAGTGATTTTGAATGACCTTGGGCAAACTGAGTCACCCCTCAGGTGGATGAGGATTGTGCATTCATTCAACAAACAGCTCTCCGACACCCACTGGCGCCCAGGCTTATGCGAGGCGCTGGGCAGGTATGCCAAGAGCGGGACTTGGGCTCTGATGGTGAATCTGGACACAGACAGGAGCCAGTGGTCGTGCCGCCTCCTGAGCCACCTGGGAAGGCTCAGAAACCAATCCTGAGGACCAGCCCCAAACCCCTTGGCTGCCAGTGTCTCTCCAGGCCGTGATCCTCAGCAGCTGCTGGGAGGGGGGGCGGGGGGCGGGGCTGGCTTGCGGAGGGAGGAGACAGCACAGGAGACTTCCACCCCTGGCCCTCTTTGGAAGTGGGTTTGGGGAATAAATCCTTCCATGCTTTTGAGATTATTTTGTCATTTGCTTCATTTTCTTGAATGTGACCACAGAGGGGAACATGCGTGGCTGCTGCAGTTTGGCCTGCTCGACCTGCTGGCTCCCTCCCCCCCCTCCCTCCCTCCGCCTCCCTCCCAGCCTCACCTTTGCTAAGCTCCTTACACATTTTTCCAAAACAGCAACCCCGTGAGTTAGTTTGGGTCAAGCAGGTGGAAAACAATAGCACCGATTCAACGTTCATTGTTGGAAACAAGAAGGAAAGAGAGGTTGCTCCTGGTCCTGCTCCTCAGAGGGAGCCACTGAGAATATTTTGGAAGATATCCTTCCAGTTTTTGCTTTGTGTGTATCTCATTTTTTAAATTGATATATATTTTTACATAACGGGGTCATATTGTACACACTGTTCTGTAACATTGCCTTTGTAATCCATGGATTCCCATTTAAAGATAGGGAAACTGAGGCAGAGAGGGTCCACGGACTGTCAGGAAGAGTCAGGGGGCAGAGTGGGGCGTGTATCCCATTTCTGTCCAGGACTCTTGACCCTGAGGACACCTTGGAGCAGTCCCGGGGCCCACCTGGAGCAGGGAGGGTGGAGGGCTGGCTGCCCATCAGCTGGGCTCCTGCTGCCCGCTCTCCAGACTGTGCAGGACACAGAGTTCTTTGTCACCCTCCAGAGTGACAGAGATCCAGGCTCCCACAGGAGAGCCTCCTGGCCCTCTGCTCCCCCGCTCCTGGACACACGCCCTCTCAGAGCTGCTCATGGGGGCCTGGACAAAGTGTCCAGAATTTTTCCTTGATGCTGAAAAACAGAAAAACAAAAAAAGTTCAAAAATTACCCCAAACCCCACCACTCTACAAATTATACAGCAAAAAGTGAACATTTTTGTCTTTGCCCATCAATTCCCAGCCCCACCCTCCCATTCCCCCACCCCTACCCCATTCTAACCCGTTATCAGCTTGGGGCACAGTCTTCCCAAATTCTCCCCAAATTTACGTCGATGTAGCTCTACAGGTAAGTTTGTAAATAGTACACAGCAAAAAACATTTTTTCCTTTTCTTTTCAAAAAT